GAACCTCTCGTGGATAACTAGAGGAGTTCTTTTTTTCTTTCGGTAGTCTTTTATTGCTTCCTTCTTGAGAGTTCTGAAGTGGATGGCCCAGCAGATTACAAGATAGCAGGAAGTTGGACACTTGTAATATCTGTTGAATCAATCGCTTTCCCCATTTCCAATTTGCAGACTACTGAGGCGGGGCTCATTGATTGCCAAAAGTTTTATTTTTCTTAACAAAAAAAGAAGTTCTCTTCAAATGAAAGATACAGAAATTTGAGACAAATCAGAAAAAAATATAATTTTTTTAGGCCAAAATGGGTATTTTCCTTTTGTATTGTTTTATTCAGATTTTAGATACTTCTCAATATATTTGATTTTTTTGATATAAAAATAAATTTTACTTATTCATCTGATTCATCTAAGTAAATATTCAATATTGTGCAAAACAAAAAGAACAGAGTCCTTATTTTTTTTCGTCTGTTAGTCTGATTTCCGATTTGTTTTTGTACCGACTGGCGCAGAATGTGACACTTGTTGGTTTGCGTCGACGGCTCATGGGTCGCTCTCGTCTCGTTTCACTTGAGCGGCTATTATGCAAATCCATCCTCGTTGCCCAATATTGGCATTTTCGTCACCTGCCCTCCTCGCAGCCGGTTCGCTGTAAATCCTCTCAGGATATGTGCGTTTGTTACCGCGAACGCGCTCACGTGAATTCGCAAGTGACGCTTTTCCGAGTGGCGCGCGAGAATGAATGGGAAAACACACACATGAGCTCGCACGCTTGTCAATCCACGCCGGAATAAATGGCTTTTCCGAAAGCAAAGCTGAAACCAACACTCGGCAGTCACTTTCAAATAAAATCAACACTTCTTGAATAAAAGAGCAAAATAATTTAAAAAATATCATACTTATGTTAACCCTTTTCAAATTGTTTTATTTGTTTTCCACATTATCTTATACAGTATTAACTTTCATAACTCTTCACCCCGTTTTATGATATAGTTTCCAATTAATATAAAAAACCTCTCTATCAAAGTCGGTTTACTAAAAACAAAAAACAGCAGTGTAAATAATTTGGTTTTTAAATATTAATTATTATAAATTAATAAATGATGCAAATTATTGTAGCGAATGAAAATGTAAAATGGTACAAAAAAATTTAACATATTATTAAACTGAGCTCGTAAAGCAGCAACAAAATTTAAATATATTACCCAGCAGCTTTTGAACGTAATTGAATTCATGCACGTCGCGGAATGGAATTTTCCCTTTTTGAATTACAAAGGGCACTTTTCCGCACGGATTGCTGAGAGTGCGGCTGGAGTGAAATCAGTGAAAAGCGTCATGCCGAGAGGGCAGATTGGCGGCATTTTGTCCGTGATCGCTCTTTTGACGCTGATTGCATGCAATAAAAATAAAAAAACGATCTGCTTGATGAAGTGTGCGCGCAATGTTGGCACGAGATTAATTTTGCGGCTGATGCCAATTCGGATAAAAAGCTATGATTTATATTGGCGCGAGCATGACACGTCAATAAAATTTAAAATCGCTCGTCAGTAAAACCGCAAAACTGGAAAGTTTTGCTTCAAAGGCTGTGAACACAGCTTTTGGAATTAATTAGCGTCTCTCGGTTTTAATTAATTACAAAACGGGATGGGTGCTTATTTTCCGCCTCCGGTTTGCGACAAAAGCCTCTTTTCCCGTTGTTTTGTGTCATTATTTGCAAAGCATTCATTGCGATGGTGTTTCTAAACAATTTGAGACAAACGTAAACTGAAGTCACGGCATGATATATGTTTGATTATCAAAACAATGAGGAAAGAAATTTTATTGTGAATTGTTCTGAGGCTCGTTTCGGCATGAGACTTCTTCTTGATTTCGAGTGTTTTAGCAAAATGTTTGCTAGAGGCGGCGCCTTTTCTTGTCCAAGAACATTTCCCTCCCAAAAATTGTTATCTCAATTTTTCTTTGTGATCTGTGCATATAACATGTATGTAATATTTGTCGGACAAGAATAAACAACAATAATAATAATAATAATATTCAACACCTCGAGTTTTGTGGTTGCTTAGCAAATCCAAAACACAAGAAAATATAGCAATTGTCTTCATGCTTGGTATTAAATTTTAGATTTATACGCTTATTTATTTTCAAGCCATTATTTCTCTCTCGAGCTTTCTATAAAAATTAATTTTATTTTTCTCTCGACGCTTTTTCAATAAAATTGCCCCCACGTTTATTACGGATTTTAATAGCATTTCTCACGAAGCTTGTGATTTTCCTGGCACATTAAATTCTCAATCACGATAGTAATATTTTTTCGCTTATATAGACACAGAAAAATTGCCCATCATAAAACGGTAAGCCTGGGGCACGTTGCGTAGGCTGAGCTTCATCTTCTTTAATGTCGGCGTCTACTATTATTTCCCAACATATAAAACGTCGGGGACCTTTTCCTCCGCCTCTTTTTTTATTGAATTTCCACTTTTTTCCACCAGAACAGCTGCGGTGCTGCTGGACGGAAAGAAAAGCTGGGGGACGTCCAGTTGTAATGACCGGGATAGGAGAAGAAGTAAATTTCGACGAAAGAAAATTCTTTACGGCCGACTTTTATTGCTTTCGAGAGCGGCGAATTATTTCCGAATCATTAACTCGCGATACAAGCACCCATTGGTCGCCGCTGCTGCTTTCCGACGTCACTCGCATTTTATTTGTATTACCCCTTTTTATCTCTTGCTCAAATGTGACGCTGCTTAATGTGCTGAGTGGAGAGACTTTTACTTTGGAAGAAGTTTATTACTGCTTCTCTCCGCCGAGGACAAGAGTAAAAAGATATGTTTAATTTATAAATTAAATCTATATTTATTTTACGTAAAGACTGAAGAGCCTAAAATTTTCTTGTATCTTCAACCGTAAAAAAAATGCCATGCTACCACGATGAGGACACAAAAAATATTTTCACAAAATTAGGAAGTAACGCGAAAATTTTTAGTGAGCTCATGAAAGCGTAAAACGCACCGCCTCTTCAGAATTTCACGTGGAATATTTTTGCTTTTCCTCATTTTAAATCACATTCTATATTCCGCAAGAAGAGGAATTCCAATTTTATCCAAAATCTCCGGCCAACTATTTCTGAAAATGAAAACGGCAAAACGTGGTTCAAAATGTATTATGAATACAAAATTAAAGAATTACACTTTATTATAATTAGAAATTTGTTCTGTTTAATAAAATTTATTTGAACAATTTTCAGTAAAAGAGGATCCAAATGAGTTTCTTAAATTTTAATTTTCAATAATATTACTCATTAATTAATCATCAGATTTGTAAGCCAAAACAAAATATTATTAAAAAAAAAGCAGATAATTGTGGGGTCAAAATTTGTGTCTGTCCTATTTCAGACACTGATGGGTTAATAACTCTGCCTAAATGCAATGGTGACCTACAGCAATGAATATTTAAGTAGCGAGACGACAGACCAAATCCAATAAACAGAGCAGACGCCTGATGGAGGCGTCAAATGGTTCGGAAATGACAGAGGTCGGCCCGAGAAAATGGAAGTGTCGGCAGGCATAGCAAAGGAAAATGCGATTTGGTCGGACAAAAGAGACCCAATGCATGCGTGTGAGTTGGAATTCCACGGCATCACAATGGCGAGAGCGGAATTGGAATTTGATTTCGAGTGATATATCCGTACAAGGAAGAAAGGCAGGGAAGCCAAAAGAAACCAACTTTTTCTCCGGCGACGTGACTCTCGCCCAGAAGCCTGCGGCACTGAATTTATTACGAAAAATCCTCTTTTCCGGCTCTCTCAATGCAATTTTCCTGCCACGGAGATCGAGAGACGACGGGAGCAGGAAAAAGTAATGAGCGGCTTAACTCCGGGTTAAGAAGTGGGGCTCTGATTTTTCCACCAGCTTTGCAATCCTGAAAGAAGAGAAAATCCGCATTTGGTGGCTTTGCGTCTGGGTTAGAGTTGTTGCGAATCGATCAACTTTTTTCGCCCAGCTCGCTTTTCCTTCAGAAACACAAGACCTTCTTTCTTTTGGCAATTATTTGAAAGAAAATCTCCGCGGTGCAATTATATGGCCCTTTGCTCGTGCTCACTTGAAAGGAAATTCAACCGACTATTTGGCGAGAAAAAACGCTCCTTTTCCAGTCAAAGGGAAATCACGGCCTTAATCCATCAATCGGTCTCTCTCTCTCTCATGGTTTTCATTCTGCGCTCCCTCTCTGCCAACGTTGAGGATAATCCGATGAAAGACCACCGAGATAGAAACGGTGCCAATAAAAATTCACGGCGTTTCCTTGCAAACAGAGAGGCGAAATTTAATTTTCTATGCCACAGATCTTGAATTTAGCCGCGACGAAGCTTCCGCCAAAACAAAATCGAAGCTGCAAAGGAGGAAATTATTTCAGCTCGGGTGCATCGGAATTGAAAATAAGCGCCGGCGAATGTATAAAACGAGAGAGCTGCTTTTTTCCTGCATATATCCCTGGGCGAATTGGGAAACTTTTCCGCTCCGTGTGCGAGATATTTCACGTAATAATCTGGTGGCCGGGATATTGGAATGAGCCGCCGTGCCACTGGTGCCTTCGGGTAATCTACGTTGCGCCCCATTAGGTCCGTCCTATTGACTGATGCCGCCGCAAAAGTACCGCCACATTTCTTTTGCCGGCTGCAGAATGGGACTTTTTCTGTATAATATCAAAATGCATATTTGAATATTGTATAAGTAAAGCAAGTATAGCCGCCTATGAACTTTCAAAGTTCACTATAAAAACGGCATAATTATAAAGTACAGTCTCATTAACACGCAGTAAATGCCAAAAAAACACCTTTGCAAAATAATTAAAATTAAATTCAGTATTTAGAAAAAAAATTGGGGAAGACATTTCTCATAAAAAATTGACCCGGATTGCTTAAAACATTCAGAAATTATTATTTACATTACATTAAAGCAAATTAACCAGCTCAAATAAAAATTAGCAGATATTTTTCAGAAGTTAATACTAGAAAATTCCCCACAAAAAAAAAAACGATTGGAAGTTTCACTTTTCTTTTTATGAGAAGAGCTGCGAGCAAACTTCTTGATGGAAATTCCGTCACCGGCGCGTAAGTCGGAGGAGGGCGAAGTGTCATTGGCAAGGGCACGATGACAATGAAGGTGCTGACGGCGAAACACATTTTTGCAGCCTCCGACCGCAAGCGCAGAAATAATGTACTTTATCAAAGCACTCGCTCGGTTCGTTCAAAGGAAATACCTGCACCAGAGACCAACGACAAGGAGCTGAATGGGGCGTAATAAAGAAGAGGCCCTTTGAACTTTATGGGCTGGTACGTGTCGGCAAATAATTCCGACGCCCACGTTTCTCACATCTGAACTGCAGTCATTTGAAGAGAAATCGCTTCAATTGTTATTTAAATCATTCATTTCGCACAATTCTCGCGGAAATATAAGTTAAATTACAATTTTGTTATTTAAATAATTGAAAGTCACGTTTATCAATTTTTAATTCACACATTTTTCCATATTAAAAATTTACATTAAATTACAATTTTGCGAAGTAAATCGAATTCTGAGTGTTGGCGTCGAATCTCAAATTACCCCACAAGCAGATCTGAAATCACGCTGCCGTTGCTTGATCAATTTCATTTTATTTTCAGTCTCCTTTGTGCTCACTTTGTGTTTGCCTGCGGCCGGTGTGTTTTTCACTTATGCAGATAAGTTCTCAGTCTTTTGTAAAGACTAGCCACGGCAAAGAGGAAGGTGGTCGTGCCCAGGAGGGCCGTGATCACAGACAGGAACACTCGCCAGTCGACGTCGTGCTTCTTTATGTAATAGTTGGAGTAGTAGCCGAGCACCTGTGCCGCAACCCCAACGCCGTAGGCCACCACTCCCAGACCGGCGTGGAATAGTTTCAGCGTCGATAACTTGAAACCATAGTGGTACTTCCTGAAAATTGCATTTTTTTTTTTTATTTTTTTTTTTTAAAGATTTACAATATTGCCGTAAAAATTTTTATTAAAAGATCATATCTTAAAAAGATTTAACCGTATTTTATAGAAATATCTGATATTCGATTAAATCCCCAGATCTTTAGTTTGTGCAAAACTGGTTAATCTAGCTGCAAAATGCTGCTTCCAAACTTTTCATTTACTCGCCTGTTAATCCTGGTCCACCATCCGAAGAGACTGACCACAACGGCGAAAATAACCGCCACTAGTCCGGTGATGGAATGCGGTTTGGCAAAGTGGCGTTTGTTGTTCAAAAGTTTGTAAACCACGATGATGATCATGCCGAGAACAATGCAGATGAAGCCGATAAGCTGCAGTATCCAGTGCAGCTTGACCAGATGCTTGCGGCTCCAGCCCCTGGTGAGCGCACTGTGCGGCAGGAAGATCAGGAAGCCCTCGGTCATAAACAGCATGTACTGCGGATATATCCACACAAATTTCATTAAACCTTGAACAGACTTGCTACATTATTTACAAAAGCATATGGGATTAATTGATCTTTTTTTTTTTTTAATTTTTTTATATTATTTTATAATGTAAATCATTGATATTTTGTGAAACATAAATTCTGAAAAAAAAAGAAAAAAAAAACAAGTAATTATCAAGGATTTTGTTTAAATTATCTAGAATTACGAAAAATATTTAGCGTATTTCAAAGTGAACAATTGAAATTAATCTTAAATGAATGATCACATTAAGTTGCTCTCAATTGGATTAATTAAATAATTTTTTTTTCTATTTTCCTCCACAACTTTTTAGCCATGATCAGGTAATGGCAGTAACTTCTAAAAATAAATTAGTATTTTATTATTGTAAAATATTATATAATGAAAATTATTAAATTTATTTAAAAAAAAATTTTTTCTTAAAATATAAATATAGTTTTATGACCAACAATCTTTTATCATTTTAAAATAAAATGTCCTACGCAGTGAAAGTTTTTAAAACTTTCTGTGAGTAATCCGCGCGGTTTCTTTTAACTGCATTAGGAAAAATTATGAAGTGAAAAATGGATCTGAGGTCTATTTTATTAATGTTTAGAGGTCGCATTAATAAAATTGGATACATTTTTCACTTCATAATTTATTTTTCCTAAGGCAATTTAAAGAATCCGCGCGGATTGTTCACAGAAAGTTTAAAATCTTTTATCGTGTCAAAAAAAATATACTGTATTTTCCTTACCGCCAGAGTAAAAAGCGGTGCGTGCCATGAAAGCAGCTGGTACTCGCGCAAACAGTCGTAGAAAAGGTAAATTGCGAGCGAAATCGCCACCCCATGACACACGGCGTCGACCAAACTGAGCAGGGTGAGTTTAAAGTCGGGCGCTCCGGCGCTTTTCTGCCACTCGCCGCCGTGGGCAGATTTGGCCGAGATGCCGTTTCCGTTCATGCGTCCGCCCATCTCTAGGCTCGCCGAGTCCAGCTTTGATGCCATGTTTGCACTATATTCTTGTTGTTTGTGTGTGCTGACCACGCGGCAACCAACCAGAGACTAGGCGTACGTCAGTCTGCTGCTGTTTAATAAACAATCGCTATCAACTGCCACGATCTCGAGAGTCTCAAGAGTGCTCTTTGTGCCCGCGTGCGATGAATCGAGTACTACGTGTCCTATCGTCACAATTGTTTGATATGGGGTATTTATGCAGATTTTTCTGTGATAGTTACGCTTGACATTTGACGAGCAGGAGATACGCTTTTTTCAATTTTAAATACTATAAATGCAAGTATTGAACTGGCTACAAGCAGAGTAAGCTATAAAATCCAAGAAAAGTTGTGAAATAAGTAAAGAAAAAAATATGTATCGAAACATTGCATCAGCAGCTTGAGCTTTTGACTTTAATAAAATCAACAACAATAATAATATTAATTTTAAGTCAGAATTCCCTGGTTGATAAATATTTTGATATAAAAATAAAATCATAGTTCCAGGGCAAATGCCTATTAAATAAGGATAAAATGTTAATATGATGTCGAGAAAGGCAATAAATTCAATTAGTTGCGAATTAAGTTTTTTGTTGTACCACAATGCAATCTCTACCAAAAGTGAGATACAGCATAGTAAACGAATATTATAAAAACGAAATGATAAAAGGAAAAAAATCAACTTAAATTATTGGAAAGAAGAAAGCACATAAATCATGTGATATATATCTTAAAAAAAGAATATACATGTTTTTGATTCAGTTATTAGCCATTTTTACCTCATAAAATTTTATATAAATTTTTTATTGATGCGTTTATATTTGTAATTATTTTTAATCAATTGCCCATTTGAAAAAGTGTGTTGTTAAATAATTATATTTCATCTTAAGTACTGATAGAGATTATTCCGGTTTGTGTAATACTAAATGAGCGTGCAACATTATCTTGTACGTGCTGTGGATCAGAGCCCTGAACTGTAATTTAAATTTCAAAACAATGCCGATAAAAGCAAAAATTTATAAAACTTACGACTTGCATACTTATCATACGGTACTAGTTGAGCTCTTATTAGTTCCATTACATTCAAAATTCATAATTTGAATAAAGCGAAAAATTTTAACTTTGATGCCATTTGAGTTAATTTTGAAAAAGTAAGATAATTAAAAAAAAATTCTGTTGGCAAATCAGTGTATACAATACCATTTTCCTACAGAAAAAATGTCTGATAGGAAAAATTTTCCGCACAACTGAAAAATGATACAACGCTACACATTCATTACCATTGCTTATTTTACGCTCTTAAAAAGCATGCCATCAGAATTAGTCTAGTCAATTGTGTTTTAAAAGTGACCTCCATTAAAACTCGAGCATAAAAACGCGAGGAGGTTCGTGCGTCCTGCTGGGAAATCCAGTGAAAACACACGTCGGCCGAAAGTTCTTTTGCGCCGCACATCAAAACAGCACGTCTCTCTTCACCGCGTCTGCACGACCGGCGGGCATACAAAATCTGAAATGAAATGCTCGGCACGCCGAAATAATTATTTTTACGCGTCCCTCGTCGTTGACTTCTTGTTTCGCAGCGAGAGAGCAACAAGCTCCGAGTAATAAAAAGCAATAAGAGAGCGTCTGCCCGACGCGCCGCGATATTAAAAATGAGTCTGTGCACAAATAATTCATAAGGGCTTATGTGGCAACTGAGCGGCCATAAAACGGAAAATCCGCTCTCTTATCTGGGCCGCGGCTTTTCTGTGCGAGCAAACTTGAATTTCAGTGATAAGGAGGGGAAAATGCGAAACAGGCCCTTAAATTTTCCGCTTTATCTTTGTTTAATTTCACGCATTGAATTAAAAAATTCCAGGTCTTTGACGATCAAAAGTCCTAAAGAATTTTGAGACATACACTTGATTGAAGGAATGCAACGGCCTCAGCCAGAAAGAACTCTCCGCACTTGTGCTTATCGAAACGAATCGTTGGGAAAGGCAGACGAGCGGCACGTATGTAGATAAAGTGGATGTGCTTGAATCAGCGGAGCTGCAAAGCGTGTTGCATAATAATTCAGTCTTACAATCAAACGGCGCTTGTTATCAAATACACGTGCTGCCTACCTCTTTAAATCATCAGATGAAAGCTAGTTAAGTTTAAGTTTAGAGGTTGACAAGAATCTACAAATTTTTCATTCTCTTTAGCAATGAATCAGTATAATACACAATTGGAATCCAGGTTCAGAGGGAATAATATTTATTTCATATTTTTTAAACTTGATCACTTTGAGTCGGAATATTTGTTTTATAACTCTTGACTCCATAAAAATTAATAAAAAAATATTCAAAATAATAATAAATATTTAATGATGGATTAAATGAATAATATTAATAATAATAATATTTTGAATATTTTATTGCATTAAAAGAACTAAAATAATAAAAATATAATTAAAATTTTAAGAGTTTCTAATTCATTTATTATATATTTGCCCAAAAGCAGCCATTTATAAAGATATAATATCTTTAGTCACCTATTTTTATTTTTAATATTTCACTTTGAATCCCTTATTTTGATTTTCTAGAATAAACTTATTTTAAAAAATTTCACCAATAAACAGCCTGAAACGCATAATTTTGATAATATAATCAAATTTTTCACCATAAGTGTACTATTTTAGGTAAAAAGCTGTTTTTTTTAATGATAGTTAACCCATACAGACTTCATGGTGATTTGAATTTAAAATCGGCTTTTTCTCGATGGGTTTTTGTGAGTTGTTTATTGTTTCAGAAAAAACAATATCCTGCCTTCTTTGCCCATATTATTTCCCAAGACGAACTTAATGTGATTATAATAAATAAGTTCTACCATTTTAGAGACATTTTCAATAAGACCTATTTTCTTCCAAAAATACTGAGAGCAAAATATTTTCTATCACAGCGCTCAAACATTCCGTTTTCATTTTGGCTGCACGGAAGAAACGGAATAACAAAATTGCCCATTCTTGAAGGGAGCACCGACGAACAACATTCGGTTACCTAACAAGAGGCAAAAGTCTGCAAGTGCCCAATGTAAGTTTTTGCACTGGTATGGAGGCCGCAATTTTGTTCCGCGCCTCGGCAAAGTGAGAAAGTCTGTCGGAATTCCCTGGGCCAATTCCGGGCAGGGCCATTTATATTGATGCCCTTTTGTGCGCCTCTTGAACTAAACACACGCCCGCACTCCACCTTGCTTTCCTCGCAAAAGCGGCTCTCGAGAAATATATATTTTCCCGTGTTTCCCAACGAGAATCATTCGGCCGAGTGCAGAGAGCGCTGTTTTTTCCTCCTTCTGGCTCTCATTAGAATTTCATCGATTCACTTACTTAGCCGAGTGCCTTTCCAGAGGGAGAAAGTACGTGACAAACGCGCGCTTTTTCCTTCGCTCGTTTCGCAATTAGGCGGAAAAAGACGACTCTCGGGTTGAAAATTAGTCAAACACGGAGAGTTGCGTGCGAAATGAAACACGGTGAAGCTCGCATGCCGTAATTTGTTTATTTTCAAAGGCCGAGCTGCAAAACAACCAGCAAAAATGAAATTTGCGCCGGTGCGTTTCAAATAATGGCTTTTCCAAGAGCTGGCATTACAGCACGTGCTCGAGGTAATTTCATTTTTGACGCTGTCGGCGGCTCTTTGACCCTTTTCCGCCGTGTGTTTTGATGGATTTCTCGCTCAGGCGAAACACAAACCAAAAACACGAATTTTTTATTGATGCTTTCAGAGCTCACTCTGTGAATTATAAATGGCAGGCGTAATAGTGTCAGTTTTTTTTTTATTCACAACCTAATTGACAGATGCTTTTGCAGCGGAAATCCTGCCAATGCCAACTTTTTGGGGAAATGTTTAATTTGAACATTCAGTCTGTCAACACAAAAAAAGAATGTTATCCACGGATTTAACTGGTATGGCTTATTTTTCTACTAAAAAAGAGAATTTGCACTGAAATGAAAATTGTCAAAAGACCAAAAAATAAATTATGTTTAATGTAAATTAAAATAGACAATCCTTTATTTAAGTTGATTGGATTTTTTTATTGAATCTGAAATATAATTTAAAAAAAAAAGTTCGTTTCAATGCTAGTTGTGATACCCTCCCAGAAAAAAACTAATATTATTCTGATATTATCGACCTATTAAACTAGTATTTCTGTGTAAAACTCCCCTTTCAGCAAACATATTCAACTCTTGTGACTACCAGCCAATTTGGTGACGTATTTTGTGTGATGAGTAAGCAAGCGGTTCTTATATTTGAAAGAATATGATTTTTTTTTTAATTTTAATTTTATATAAAACATCCTCACATCTCATCCGCATAAAAAATGGCAAGATATTATTATTATATTACTCTTTATTGACTTATGAGACGTCGCCGTGATGTAATTACCCTTTCTGCTCATTTTTTTTTTTTTTTTAATTTAGATGCCTCGAGTAGAATAAATACTAATAATGCCTTTGATCGTTGATAATACTTGGTAATATCAATGATTAATTCATGGCAAAAAAACTTTCAAAACCCCTCTTTGTTAGTATAAATAGTCATTCATCCGGATGACAATAAATTTGGGTATAATCTAGTGCCACCACTAATGGGTCACAAATTCGGGTGTTACGAAGTGCAAAACAAGCACGAGAAATATGGCACCGATATAATATGCGGGACGGCTGAGATTTTATCGCCGAGGGCGCGATATTTCGCAATAAAACGTCGGTCGCCGCTTTGATATTCAAATATATGGCCGCCGGCGGATAAAAGCGGCGAAAGAGACGAAAAAAGCAAACACTATAGATCTCGCCTCGAGAGGGCAAAAGAGACAAAAGGAGCAGGGCGAAGGCGACGCGGCCGAGAGCAAAAAAGAATTCATACATTTTTGAGCCGTCGCTCCTTTGGTGGCGGCGGCGAAAGATTAAAAGCGACAGAGGCGCAGACCGATCGATGCTTCGGTTCCAAAATGGCAGTTGCATCAAATTGAATTTTTATTACTCACGCCGCCGCCATTATCAACATCCCACCTGCAATGCCAGAGTGAAAAGCACGTGATAAAGATGAGAGCAACCCTTCATTCTTTCTTGTGTAAAAAAGCAGGATTCGGACGAGAAAAAGTAGAAAAACAGTGGATTCAACATACAATTCACACACACGCTCCGGGAACGGGACTAGCGGGAGCAAAAATATAAATGTACTTTTTGTGGAGAGTAAAAGAACGTGGGGTGGAATTCCGCGTGCAATTTTAGGAACGATCCACCGAGATTTGACGTCACGTGAGCATCTATTCAGGAAAGAATAATAACAGCAAAAGGAACTCAACAAAAAGAAGTGGGCTTCATATTTGCTAATGGCCGTTCCAAACATTCGCGTGCTTTTTGAAAATCTTTTTGCATGAACACTGCTTCACAGGAATAAATATCATTGCCATGGCGGCACTAGGAAATCTTATAACCTATTGTAAAAAAAATATATTGGATCAAATTTTGAAATTATAAAATTTGCTTCGTTTAATGAAAGTTAATTTTGTTCAAAAGCTAATACAACATATATATTTTAAAGACCATTAAAATCACATGATATAAGAATAACGAAAATAATTTGCAATAATCTGTCATCGTCAATAAAAGCTAACAAGGTTTTTTTTAAATTTATTTCCGATTTTTTTTCTGCTTTTCTACATAAATTAACAAGTTTCATCAATATTATCTAGCTCAATTTGTAAATCATTATACAGTTGCATGATTGATTTTTCATAATATTTGCTCTAAACGGCAAGAATTATTGTTATTATTGGTTATTTATCGAAATTGTTACATCCAATTGTTCACATACAACTAAAATTCAGGTACAATAAATTATTTAAGTTAACCTAAAATTGAAATCAAGTGAAAAAGATTTAAATTGATTAATTCAAATTAATTTACTTTTGTTTAATCTTTTAATTTCTGACTTAATTAGCTTTCTTCGTTAAGGAAATTATTTCTCAAGCCAATATAACCTACAAGATCAATTTTTGACACTTCAAAATCTTTTGAAATTAAACATGGACACGATTTATCATGTATTTTATTTCATTTCACATTGGAAGTGCAAATGCACGGCGCGCTAAATTTCAGTCGGACAAAATGACCGTAAATTTTGTGCATTTGAATATTTCACGTGTGGAGAGTACTGAGGAGAGCAGCCCACTTATCTGCATATGAATTCACAGCCCCACATATTTGGCTTTCGGCCGGCTGCGTTTGTGTGTCCGTTTCGCTCTGCACGTTTATTCAGCAGCCGCAACGACTCGCTGCAGCTTCCAACACGCTGCATAAATTATCTTTCATTATACACGTGCCGCCCTTTGCCCTTTGGCCCGTGTTTTGCAAATTTAAAGAAATCAATTTGCTCTTGCGAGAAACTTGTGTGTGTTCCTCGCTATGGTGCACTATAGAGCGTGAGTGAAATATTTATGATATTTTTGGACGAGACCAAGGGAAAGTAAGATCAAAGAAAAAGAAGAGCTCCTTTTCCGTGCAGGATCTTTTCTGAAAGAGAAAAAAACTCCTTTTGTTGCAGATCTGGGCGCCGAGTGCCGGGCGAAATTGATCGAGTTTCGTCTTCCTCGTTGGTGAGTACTTTCTCGTCTTCGTTTTAATTTCAGCTAAAGAGCACGTCTTCGTCTTGTTGATATAATCTGATTACGCAAATTGAATTTCCATCTCGCGAGAAACCCGGCGGCTTGATGAAAACTCTCTCGTTTTTATTCCCCCCTCTATATATCGAAAGAAAAGTGGAACAATTACACATAATATCTGCGCGTTATCTTCAGCCGGAAAGCACTGCGCGAATTTATCACTCTTTAGAAAGTTTTGCCGCCGCCGACGGAAGGAAATGAAGTGGCTCTCTCGGTCCTTTTTCAGTCGCGTCGTTAAAACGCCAATTATCCCGTGTCGTCTTATTACAGCCTTCTCGCGCTCGTTAAGACACTCCATTAAGGCAAAATGCTGGACGCTTTACGAGCGATCCCTGTCCCGTTTTGCTGCACCAGCACTACCACTGACTGAGACACACACAAATATATTGCTTCCGATTCTGGTTTTACGCGCCGCCAAGATGACACTCGCTGCTGGCAATCGTAAAATGCGAGAGCGAAAAACCTATGCGGGCACTTCTGGCGCGAGGATTAGGCTTGTCATCGTATGCGCGTTTTTTATATTCATTGAGCCTTCAGAATAGACTTACTCTTTGTATGACCACATTTTTTTTTAGTATAATATATCTTAAATAATTTGAACCTACCACTTGTGGCGTAACATGTAAGAGTGACAATTATAATTGGTGAAACATTTTGTCCATACTTTATACTTGATATTTTTGATGAATGAGAATATTTTGAGAAATTATTTTCTGGTACTCTTTTGAAAGACTAATTATTGTGTCCATCCACATACTTCACTTCATACTGAAACTTGTAATATAAATCATTATATATTTTTAAAAATGTAGCCAAATTAAAGATTTTTTTAAATTTTTAAAATTTTTTATAATATTATGCGTTAAATAAAAGAATTTTTATATTAAATTATTTAAATTTAATTTAATATTGTAGAACTTAAGTTACTCAAAACAAATTTAAAAAAGAAATTATTGCGTATAAAATTAAATATATTAAGTGCAATGTGTCCAATGGATTAAGGTGTCTCATTTATATGAAAATACAATGATGAATCATAATCTGGAAACAGTTGGACATTAACAGAACTTAAAATTAACATTTATAAATCAATCATTAATCTACATTATCATGTTTCAAAGATAATTTGGAATTGAAGAAAATATTACGATAAAAAATATTTAAGTAATAATTCCAATGCATAAAATTATATCAGTTACGTTACCTTTCATTTAAATTCTCTCACTAAATCATTTAATATTATAAATGTTTGCAATTTTTTCTTCAATATTGTTCAAATTTATGAAGACAAAAGGAAAAGGAAATCACAAATTAAGTACCTTCATGCCTGTCAACAGATAAAATTTTAATGGCTTCTATCTCGTTTCTTCAAGAAACGGTTTTTTACCTTTATCAGTGATTGTTGAAAATATTTCGCTTAAAAATTATTTTGAAAAAAAAAATATAATATCTCACTGGCGATTTTAAGTTTCTTTTTTCATTTTTTATTGTTTTGACAGGAATAATTTTACAGTTACCACGATAACAAGTGAGAAAAGAAATTATTTCGTGAATCATTTAGATTGGAGAAGGAGACACGCAAATCTTGAAAATCCTTTTTGACTCCAAGATAAATAGCCAACGCTATTTGTCGTTTGCTGCCGCCCCTTGTCGTGCTGCCTGAGATTCATTTCAGCAAGAATGTGTTGTTGTTCGTTTGTAAAACAAACATTTTTATGGCTTGAGCACACATTGCATAGTGCTCGCGAGCGCCCTTATCGAGGGTTAAATCTTCATTTGAGGCCCGACTCGCGGTTAATTGCAGAGACGGAGCACAGCCGCGCCGTCTTGTCGAAACTTTGGCCCAAGCAAACACACACGTCTTTATTATCAAGTTTATCCAGCATTAGCATGCAAATTCACGAGTTGGCGTGTGCGCGAGACGCGGGAAACCCCGCGTGATCTTCACCCGCGATTATTTTTCGCCCCGCTTAACTCTTGCCGCAAACTTTGGAATATTATATGAACAGGGAGAAAGTTATTTACACATTGGCCCCTGGAGCGGAAGCTCGCTGACGTAGGAAACTCTATCGTACAGGTGCGTCACACCGGTTGCATACTTTCCACTGAAGATGGAAGTACGAAACGTTGAACTGTTTATTACATAGTTAATGTGGTGCTTATTGGAATAGGACTTAATTCTTTCTTAAACCTGCCCTTCTTAATTATGAGAAAATGTTAAAATTACAAAGTACCACAATAAAATAAAATTAAATATTTTAAAAGGAAATGGAAACAATATTAAATAATAATTTTTGTTTCCATTCCTTTTTAAATATTTAATTTTTATTCACTAAATATTGACCTGAACATAAAAAATTATCCGAAGCAATACTGCGAAAAAAAATAAAATCTCATTAACAGATTTAAAATCCTACTTTTTTCTACAAGCTATTTTTAATTTCTTTTTCTGCAATTCATGGTTTTATCCCTGTCAACATAGTCAGTGTTTTCATAGCCAGTCCCCCCCCCCCCAAAATTATAATTCATTTATTTAAGGACTCCTTATTGCAATGCTAAGAGTACCAAAGAGGTTTTTTTTTTATCGCACATATGCCCAATGTTAATTTTTTGCCCCATGAACACTCAAATTTTTTTCTGCTTATCTGTTTAGGGTCATTCGCTTATCATTTTGTGAAATTTTGAGCAAAAAATTTCGGGCAGTTTTTTTTTAATCACCAAAAACAAAAATTTCTATAAGACGCAATGTAAAAATTCAAAAAATCATATTTCAAGAATAATCGGCGCTACCCCCCATTTTTCTTTGTGCAATCAACTCTACTGATAGGTAGGAATCTATAAAAAAATCTGGGTCCAAAAATTTCGGGCCGATTTGCCGCAAACAGGAGTTGTAGATGTCAATAAGCAGGCCTTAATTTATCTAAGGAAAATATTTTATTGTGACTTTAATTTATTTTGCGAACGCTAAAAATTATTAGAGAAACTTCAAAATTTTAGCATCTCATAAACAACCGTGGCGTGTGCAATGTCAAAATGTGCCACCTGTTCCGCACCACTTGCTTAATTCCGCACCGCGGCGGCTGTGATTGCGAGCGACAGGGACGCCCATCGCGCGATAGTCAAAGTCGAAGCAAAGGCGCTGCGCTCTCTTCACCTTAAAATTTAATTAGAGCCGGTCTGACGCTCACTTAACGTCAGCGTGGAATGCCGGAGCCCGAATTAATATTCGCTCGGCTGCGCCGACACGTGAAATATGCTCCCTCGAAAAGCAGCCGCCGCACATTAAGCAGAAGTGCGCGTCTGTGCATTAAACTCGCCATTAATCGCGGTGGCCTCCTCGAAAGGAATGTAATGAAGTGCGACCCTAGCTGCAGCGTGCACAGTCCGTACCTTTCGTGCTAATTTTCAGATAAATTTGCGAGCCGAAAGTGAGGAAAGAGGGTTTTGCGCCCGATTCAACAGTTTTGTGTGCAAAAGGGAAGCAAGTGCACCCCAGAGACGAGTAATATTTTTATGTAGTTCATTTCAGCTTTTTCCTCAAATGGGAAGGGGAAAACGGTAGGAGCAAGAATCGAATAAATAATATTAATAATAATAATAATGAATTTTCACTTGAACTTTACAAAGTCTTGATGTCGACCTGTATGTCCATTATTTGTAGTGCGAAAAGTACAACCCAATTTGATAATTCTTTATTTGATTTTATATTTTAGTTTAAAATTAAATTTTGCATTTAAATGCATTTTTCAGCATCTTCTTTAATTATAATTTATGGTCCTTGCGATATGATTACAAACAATGCTGAAGAAAACTATTTTTTTTTTTACATTCGTGGTGTCGCAATAAAGGACACTGAACAAAAAAAAAATGGAAATCATTTATTAATGTTACATATTATATTATCATTTTCCAGCATTGTAGTATTTTGACACTTTTATCTCAATGATAATTTTTTCTAAGACAAGTGTGCTTTTTGAGTGATATGATAATTACCAATTAATGGATTAAGTAAATAAATATAAATTAATAAATAAAATATAAGTGAAAGCTTCAACGATAAAATTGATTTGATTATTAAAATATTGATGCAAAAAATAACATTAAATTTCTTCATTTACAACGTGAAATTTTTTACATCGCTTTCGTTTGCTCGCTGCACTTCAAAATCCATGCAGACTGTGCAGAGACTGAAGAGCTTGGATGTCCCCGAAAGCCGCTTTGATAATGCAAAACAGGGCCACGTGTTTGCACATCTTATTCCACTCGTGGGTACCTCTCCACTCACTTTGAACACGTCGGTCGGATGCATGTCCCGGCCCCATGTAGCTCTCATTCAAATCTGGCACGCCGAACAGCCCTCTGAGGACCAGTCATGCATGCGCGAATCGGCCTCGTATCGGAACCGGTGAAGCGTGCACCTCACTCGGCGAGCAGAGAAAAGCGGCGGGCTGCTTTTCACTCGTGGGCAAAGCTAACCTGCCGACGATAAATACTTTGACGATGAGTTAATCGGATGAAAGAGGAGGCCAGGTGGCGCGGACGAACGGCCAGATCACTAGAAAAGGGTATGCAACCGGTGCGACGGCGTGTTTACCTTTGTGCTGGTGCGCAGGGAAGCCTCTTAAGCCGGCAGGATATCGATTCTATAAAAAGAAAAAAGGGTACGTGGACCCTGGATATCTAGGGTGGCTATCCATGTTACTCTAGACAAAATATGCATCAATAAGTTATTTTTTTAAATAGTGAAAATGAATCAAATTGCAAATTTAATTTTATTCCTGGGCTTGAAATTATTTTCTTATTAGAAACAACTGCTATAATTAAAAAAAAAATAGTAATTTTTCTATGTTTTTAGAATAAAATTGTATAACATTTGAATTTTTCATTCATCAATCAGGTTCTGAAGTATTTTAAAATTTTATTTTTTTTATATA